AGCGAATAGTGGGATTGACCGTCACATTATAAAGCCCCCACGGCTGAAAGGGCGAGCATGTTTGGTGGGATGGGGATTCGAACCCGCGACCCTCAGATTGCGAGTCGAGCACCCTAACCACCTGGACATGCCGGGCCTTATCGTTATAGCAAACTTCTATGAAGGAAAGCGAGCTCAGTCTAAGACAACATCTCTTGAGTTATACGAGGAGTCTTCACAGGTACATGATTGAGAGGAGTTGCTGTGATTTCGTTTCTTCGGGTTTCTTTGTCATTAAAAAATATCAAATAGTTGAAGGTCTCTGAGTCTTTTAACTTTCAAATACTTGTTTATTATGTTTTGGGTCAGAGGGTTCTCTTTCGTAACCATAGCTTTTACTTTGTGGATGAGAGCGTGGCTATGGACAGCTTAGGGTATGGCGTTGAAACCTGTTGCTGTCCTAAGAGCGCCGTTGTGTCAGTTTTTATACTTTCATAGAATAAAACATTGAAGAATTTCTTCTTCGCTTGGAAATGTTGTGTCTTTTGGTTGTGTATCGTTTAATTATCCTGCTATACGAATATTCGCGTCGAAAGCGGTAATACATCCTTCCATTCATAAGGTAACGTGTTAGCTTTGCACTATGGAAATGATATGGCCAAGAGTTTGCCGTAAACCAAATAAATAGATGCTAAAAACGTCACCCGTGGCGCCACATCTCGTATCTATGGCGGCGCGTTACTCCTTGACACATACAAATCGTTTATATAAATTGCGATCAACTTTCTGTTCATAGGCAAAATTAGCCTAAAAATCAACAGATATCTTCGTATTTATCTATTTATAAGGGGGGAAAAAAAGATAACTTATCGAAGCTCACTCAGCAAAATTAAGTTAGTCTTAGTTTTTTTAATAAACTTAAAACAATTACCTACTAAGTAAATTATGCAAAGTATAAAGTATGTAAGTAGAATTATATAAAAAGTTAATATTCAAAATATTTAGCCATAGTTTATCATTTAATTGTACTTGCGTATATTTACGCTAGTTTCTAGAAGGGTATCAGGGAAAATACCAAATAATCTGAAGCCTTACAATCTGTACAAACAAATCTTAGCTTGGTCCAGTAAAATAAACATCCAATCTCTTACATTGAAGGCTTAAACTCGTTCTCCACCAGTCTAGGTTGTCATGGCAACGGTTTATGAAGTACAGAAAGTCCATTAAGTCCTCGAAAGTGGCATGATTAAAGTGTCAGAGCTGAGACAGAAGTTTTGCACGTGTGTACATTGTGATCGTTCGAGTTGGCGAATGATAGTTCCACAGCGACTACTAGCAGAAAGATGACGTTGGTAAAGTGATGAGGATCGTTTACATGTTCTCGGCCGTATTAGAGAGCCTAGAAAGCCCGTCTCTGCCACTAAATAGGCGACTATATGCTATAAAATGTTATTATTTCCGCTTAAAACCATTATTCTGTGGAGATTAAACACGTCTTGCCTTAAGCTAGTTTCATACAACTGTTGTAGTTTAATTAAGATGCTCTGGGTTGTCTAATGAGTGTTAGGTTAATGGAAAATTTACGATAATGTTGCAGTTACTTGACCGTAAAATCGTGTTAAACGAATATATTTTGGTGTACTGAAACAATTGCGATAGTTATTTGTGTGATAATCATTATTGATATCACGGTATTTTTCGCGTTACGGAATTGTTTGTGTGAAATCTGGTAGCTAATTTTCGCGTTACGGAATTGTTTGTGTGAAATTTGGTAGCTAATTTTCGCGTTACGGAATTGTTTGTGTGAAATCTGGTAGCTAATTTTCGCGTTACGGAATTGTTTGTGTGAAATCTGGTAGCTAATTTTCGCGTTACGGAATTGTTTTTGTGAAATCTGGTAGCTAAGAAACTA